AAAACAAGAGAGTAATTTATAAAAATATTCTTTCAGTGAGTTTTATGTCCTATAAAAATGTCCACCAGGAGTGATGGTTGTGGTGAGAGAATTGATAATTATTTGATAATAAATACTAATCATTAAATTACAATAACTCCGAGGATGAGTTTCTTACTTTATTAAATGTTCTCTAAAGCTTTCGGGTACTGTGAACCCTTCGACAGGAGAATACATTGAAAACCTCGGAGGCTGCATTTTATTCTAATTTAAATTTCAGAGGATTCTTCTGGTTTTCGTTGTTTGCCCCTGTAGGAGGGTTTACAGTACCTGAAATCTTGAGAGATCATTTAATAAAGTAGGAAATTCATCCTCGGAGGCTGCATTTTATTGTAATTTAATTTTCAGAGGATTCTTCCAATTTTACAATTGATAGTCATCTTAACAAAATAAATTTCAAACCAAATTTTAACTGAAAGCTCTGATCCCTTGGAGTGTTTAATTAAAGAAGTTAGACTATTAAAATGAAATAACATAGGATCATGTGTGTCAATTCATATAATATTAATTAACATTACAAAACTTTTTTTTCTAAAAATATTATTTAATGAGTTAGATGATAAGAGCTAATCATATCTAACTGACTATAATTCAACACATACTTCAATTCAACTGAAAGCTTCGATCTCTTGGGGTGTTGAATTATAGACTGTATATATGGTACTAGGTTAGGATTAAATATTGTGTCCTGAGTTGTAACTTTTGGAAATATGTCACATGCCCACTTGTTAGCTAAGTTGGACCTTAATCCCAAGTACAGTTAAACCTGTCTATAGCGCCCCCTCTAAATAGTGCCTTCCTCTCTATAGCGCCCAATTTTAAGCAATAAATTGTAAACATTTTACATTAAAAGTGACCTGTCTATAGTACCCTATTTTGGTGAGTCCCAAGAGGGGGCGACAGGTTTAACTGTATATATAATGAAACTCTGCAGGTCACAGGGAGAACAACATGGTTTGTGATTGCAGGGACCATTCTGGGCTTCGGCGTGTTTATTCTAAGTGGCTGTTTGTTCCTGATCTGTCTCATGACCACAGCCTTCACCATGTTCTGTGCTTGTCTGTGGGTGGTTGCACGCAAGATTCTAGCTTTGGGACAGCCCCTCTCTATGCCTCTCCCAGACAGTACCTGCCAGCACCCCGACTGATGTCACCACCCAGTCTTCCCCCTCTGTATATAGAAATGTCGTGATTTTATATTTTTACTCAGTTTTTAAGTTTTTCTATACATTCCAAAGACCGCTTCTCTATACTGACGTATTTGTGTGAATATTTTTTGTTGAAGTTTTTTTTTTTTCAATATGTCTTCCTTGTTTTTTTTTTTTTTTATTGCACATAAAACGTTATTTTACCAATATTTTGTGTATGTCTCTGTTGGAACTCTGATATCTGGAGTTGTGACTTATGTAGATCCATGTGAAACCAGTTTTAAATCAACATGATTACAACATGGCATTGCCCTATATTGTAGAGCTACATCTCTGTAAAAGATAACACTCAGTTGCAAAGCCAAAATGTCCTTTAAGGAGAGATGTGTCCTCTTACCAGAGTGATGCTAATTAGTAAAAATTGAAATTTTGTCCATGAAAGCTGTTGTCCTTTATAGAGAGATGTCCTCTAGTGGGAGTGTCCTCTCATGGAGTATGTTCTACTGTACTTACTTCAGTAATAAGTGTCCACAAAGGTGTGACATTGTGAATATAATTTTGAACTTTTATATTTGTTATTAGCCTTTGTCCTAGCCACTTTGCCAGCTAAACACCTCTTTGGCACATTGTGAAGATTCCATTAGGTCCCTTGTGGATCTCATGGAATAAAATCTGCCCTAAGCTGAAGAGGTCTATTAGCCTGAAACCATGGTCTCAAGGTGGAAGCTTCTCAGTTTTCCAAAGCTGGTGTTGTGGCTTTGTCAGTGACCCGAGGCCGCTAGTTTGCGGCGACAGTCAATAGATGTCATCTCGTTTTTATGTTTATTTTGGATGGGAGAGGTGACATTTGCTTTTATATATATTTGTCTTTATGTTTGTTAAAAGCTGAACTGTGCAATGTTTGTTGAGTGTTCTATTACAGCCTTCCATGAGAGATCATCTAATATAAAGAGTGGTTTCCAATAGAGAATTCCTTTTACAAAAGGTGACTGCTGCATATGGTGCGCCACATTACTCTATTTGAAATCTGTCATTCCACGGGGAAATTATACTCAATTGTCGTTTTTCATTCTGGAGATGGTAAGACAGGTTCTCTTCCCAATTTATTTTTTTTGTATATATCGTTTTTAAAATTTATAAAAATATTCATAAAAGTTGTAAATTTTTAATAGTTCAGATTTAATATTATGTGTGTTATAAAGGTAAAAAAATATCTTAACTTGAAATATTCCTCAAAATGGCATTCCATTTTTATTGACCACTTATAAACTCTCTCAGTATAATTGTGTCTCCATGGTAAAGTTAGTTCAAAGTAGGTTAAATGTCCATTCCTTAATTGGGACTATATATATATATATAATTTCTCAGGGAGTCCCAATTAAAGAGAAACTTGTAATATAGTAGAACCTCCCTGTAAAGGATGTCTAATTGCTGAGCCAAAATGTCCTTTACCTCAGTAAAGAGAGGTGTTCTCTTTTCAGAGAGTTGCTAAATAGTGAAAATGGCAATTTTGCAAATGAAAACTGTTCTTTTTAGAGAGGTGTCCTCTAGTGCGAGTGTTTTCTCAGGGAGGTTCTACTATACTTCAAGAGTACTATATTCTCTTATTTTCTATTGCTCTTTTTAGTTAGTTTTATTTAGGAAACCTTTGTGTAAATTTTAGAATAAGTTTTTTTATCCAGTCCAACTATACCGAATGATTAAATGTGTCATTGTTGTCTTTTATCCCCTTGTATAAAGATTACATGAATTGCATGAGTTCATGCTCCTCGAGCTATGATTAAATGTTAAATAGATAAAGAGCTACTACCCTTGGAACATTTACCTGAAATAATAATTGAACCTATAACTGAGCTTTATATATGTTTAGCCTTTGGATAACTCAGTGTCACCTCTATTGATGGTCTTATTTATAGGATCAGTTTCACATTTATTGAGTGACACCACAATATGAGAGAAATTTAGTTCGAATTAAAGCATGTGTTGTGATTTGATAAACTATTAATTATAAAATATGGCTTTAGTTTCTGATAAAGCATAATTTGGGATTATAGATTATGACTACAGGAAAATAAGACCTGATCCAAATAAATTAATAGTGTGTGACATTTCGGAACAGCGTTGTTACCATCATCAGACAAAAATAATAAATTATTCTTTATAATGCTGTTACTGAAACGTCACACACTATTAATTTATTTGGATTAGGTCTTATTTTCTTGTGGCTTTAGTTTCAATGAAGTAATTCTATAAAAAGATGAAAACTTATTACTAATGTTGTTGTTGTTTCTTATTCCTTTGTGTAAAGATTACAGAAATTCCATGAGTCCAGTGATCTTTTATTATCAACTTGAGAGAATAAATACTTAAATAATACTCTGCTACTTTTAACTTTGAAGTTTTAGAGAAAATTGCCTAATGATTCAATCCCAATGATTTAATACATGTAGATATCATTTATTTGGTCAGCCTGCAGTGACTACATTTTATACAGTGTAATCTATCTTCCTAGAGAACATTCTGCAAAGTCACAACAGATACTTAAATTTTTTAGATGAATTACAATATATACACTTGACATGATGTTGGCATTTACTTTGATCTTTTTTAAAGTCCTTTCATAAAGCACACTTAGATTATTAGATAGTAAAAAGGCATTTATTGGATTGATAATGATAATTGGAATGAAAACGCTATGTGGCGCTGAGTTTGTGTATACAAAAATGTAATGCCTCGATAAAGGTTGGCGTTCAGCCAGCCGAAATATTGGCAAATAAATATTTTATTTAATCCAATATATGCCTTTTTACTATCTAATGAATCAAGTATGAATTGCTCTATTTTCAGAACTTTAGATTATAGATTATAAATACAAGGTAATAAGACCAACTCTAAATAAACATTCAGTACTTCTGTCTGATAATGGTAACAACGCTGTTACCATCACACACTTATTTATTTGGTTTTGGTCTTTTTACCCTTGAATTTTTTAACTATTTCTTATTTATGATAATATCTTTATTTACGAGCTTATAACACAATATCCAAGCCATTTTCATAATTGGGTTATTTTGGTGAATATAATCTTGATTTTTTTTATCTAGCTTATATCTAAGCAATCATATATTGTCATTTGAGTTTTAGCACTATTTTAATCATTTTCTCAAGCTTATAATTGTTATTATATATGCTTGTACATATTAAACTTGTATACATTTGACATTTTTTAAGGTCACACTTTGGATATTTCCTTAAGCACCTTATATTACAGAGAGATATTCAAAAATCTAAAAGGTCACCACTATAAAATCCAGGTCAAGGGATAAAAAAATATATATTGTTGATTATCAAACTTTTTAATGAATACAAAAAATGCAATTTTAATAAAAATTTGTTAATAAATACAAAAGAATACAGTGATAATAAAGCTAATTGATTATATACAGTATAACCTCATTAATTCAATCAACTCTAATTAAAAACACTTGCCATAATTCAGCCTTTTTTTTCCCCCTAATCTTAGCCAATCTATTTACTTTGTGGTTTAACCATCAATTATTCAACTTTTGATTGTGTACCATAATATAACAATACGGCCTTGAAAAATGCCTTCTACAGCTGTGAACAATGAGTTGAATTGAAACCATCTGAACACACGCTAAATTCAACACTGACTTTAATTCTATGGAATATGCTTATCCTTTGAGGGATTTTATTTTAATTGCCGAGCTGATAAAGCACAATTTGGATTATAGATTATAGCTACAAGAAAATAAGACCTAATCCAAATAAATTAATAGTGTGTATAAAAAGATGGCGAAATGTGGTTTCGAACCAGGTACATTTAGTTCCTCAGTCTAAAGCTTTCACAGCTGAGCTATTCCGCCGTATTCCATCCACTATTAATATATTTGGATTAGGTCTTAATTTTCTTTTAACTAATTACAGAGCTGTTATTATAAAGGATCCTCTCCAAATTTCAACACTTCCTATATATAGACCAATAAATGTTCATTACAAAAGTCTTGGATATACATAGACAAAGTTGAGATAGTACTGTAGGGTCTTTCCTTTTTGAGTTCCTTCCATTTAACAGCTTTCTTTTCTAAAAGATGACAAGCCATTGGCTACTTGTGGGAACCCAATATTTATTGACATGAAGGGCATCCATTCCTGACATGGAAGGGAGAGTTTGATTGATGGCAATTAGTGCAGAATGTGGTATTCAGACTTTGGAGCAATGAACTGTGAAATTGTTCTACATCTGTGGGAGGGAGTCCTGTGGGAATCTCAGACCAGAGGTCAATAACTTGAAATCAATCAACTTCCCCTTGGCAGTTAATGAGTGGTAAGGGTAATAAACACCCTGTAGACAGGAAGTCACCTTGGTAACTCAGACTTGGCCTCCTATGTGCTGCTATGTGGTAGACCAACCATTCTTAGGTGGGGTCGGTGGAAGGATGGTCTAAACCATTGGTTTTCGACCGCTACAACCCAGGATCGAATCCTGCATTGGGCACTTTTTTTCTAATTAAAAAAATGCTCCAATGGCCCCCGATTCTTTCAGAGGTCCAACCCCACCAGCGAGTGCAAGTAAAACCAAACAGGGCTCTGGCACATTTGTAAGTGAAAAAGTCGAACTGCTTTCACATGCGTAGGCATGTGGTGCACTTACAGTAAAAGCAGTCGCTAACCACCCACTATGATTATCATGGCCTGTACCACATGTACTAGGGATAATTTAAAAAAAAAAAACATTCTTAATTGACTTCTACCCTTGCATGGATTTCTTTCCCACTGCTACAATACATATCAAACATTTCAGCCAACAGTACAGATACACCATGGGAGTTAATCCTCAGGATCAACACCATGTCTCAAGGAATACTCGGATTCTAAATATTATCCTATATTATATATATATATACTCTAATGGACAAAACTTGAGGCAGTTGTACCTTTTAGCATGTATATCAGTATTCAAACAATAACTCTGAAAGATATTTGATACACGGTGACCTTTATTGAAGACACGAGATAACCAAGTGTGAACAAAATTGACTCTGTCTCCTTGAAAAAAATAGACAACAGGTTTTGTCTGTGAGTGTAGATATGCAACAGTCCTTGTTGCAGAACTATTCGCCTACACTTTAAAAGTATTGTTTGCGAAAAAAAAAAGGCAGTGGGCGAGATGTAATATCTTTTTATTTAGAGTGTTGTAAAGGTAAATTAAATGCCTGTTCACAAACAGACTGACGATAATGGACTGATGTCATGGCAGGCAGGGCTGAGGCTTTAAATGTACAGTCATTGAAAGTTCCTGGAAGGGAAAAAGAGAGGAAACTATTTAAATACTAAACACAAGTAAACAACAAGTAAAACATTAGCAATTCAGGGTTTACAAGACTTTACAAATGGCCATCTAAATTGTACAAAGGTAAAAATATTTGGCATTTTAAAGCCAAAAAAGGCAATATATATAGTTATAACTGCATCTTCTTCGTCTTTCTTATCTCCACTCAATCATATTAATGTATCAAGAGTGTAGAGCTTGAGATGGTGCCTGCTGGAGATGACTAGAACTCATCAAAGGAGATTTGACATTTATATTGATTGGGTGAAGTAGAATGTGTCTGCTTTTGTCATTAAGACTGGGAGCACTATTCAGTACCAGGCCGACTTAGCTTCAATATGAAATGGCCGCCTCTGACATAAGGAACAGATGCCATGTGTAGCACTCTTAACATAGAGTACAGAGGCTGTTCATCCTGTATCTCTGGATTAAGAGCTCTTACAGGGTACTATCAGCCAGGCCACCTGAGTCCAGGTTTTTTTAGCGAGCTTGTTACTGCTCCTCCTTCTTTTTCTTCCGGGCTTGGGACTGGCAAAGACAGAGTTGTTATAACTGAATAATATATAGATATGAAAATAAATATATGGTGATTTTATTTTCATAATGGTTCAATGATTGTTAAAGTTTGTTTGGCACCAAAGGTGGTAAGTTGATGGAACTTCCAATGTGCCATCCATCCATGTTTAGTGAGAATTGATAATGCAATCATATATATGTATTTATATCTAATCATATATTAATTACAGCTAATACTGTTGTTCAAGTATTCATAACCATTATATTTTATTGTTGAATATATTTTTCTATGATCAATAAAAATAAAGTCCTTTTTACAATTCCCTGCTCACTTTGTTTTAAATTCAACAACAACAAAGCCTTTATTAGGGACATATTGTCTGATATTGTCCATTAGTAGGTACATATCCTCAAATATATAAGTATGTGTGTCTGATGAGGCTGCCATCGTCACGACGTCATCTCCACCGACCTGCCGACCAAGTTAACCAAGAATAGCCTTCTAGCGGCGATCCGCCTCTGGCCTTCGTGAAGTGGTTTGAGCTGCTTGACGTATGGAACGACACAACAGTTTGAGTCGAAGTCAACTACAGCCATCCATTCAAACTGCACAAAATACTTCAGCAGGGCAGTGCCAGCAGAACTCTTAAACATCAACTTCAGCTCATAAAAACTATAACGGATTGAAGTGTCTACTCATGTCTTGTGGACATCAAAGCTTGAATTGTTCCTCTGACTTGTAGGTCCTGGTTACCTCGCCGATCCCTGCTGAAGCTATGAGAACAATCCTAGGTATAACCTGGTACCGGGTAAGGCACACTTCCTCCATATCGAATCTGTTTCTCGTTGGCCTCTGCATGTTTCCAAAGACGTTCCCCTACAAGTGCGCGACTTCGCTGACCCTGCTCTATCGTCCAGTAGCAGACTTGTGTGAAATGGGCACAAGAACACGGCCTCTCTAAGGGAGTTCTGCTAATATTTTAATATCAGAAAATAATTGAGCTAGTACTAGAAGAGAATACTGTAGGACAGCGTAGTGATCTGTGAGGCAGCCATGTAGTACCTGCTCATCATCACATGTATTGAGTGTTGAAAATTGGAGTGTTCCTGTCTAGTAGCTGTTCCCATCTCCATGGGCGTTCGTTGTCGACATCACCTCCTTCACCAGCCTGTTCTTCTCACCCCTCTTTGTTTTCACGGTGTAGATGGAATTAGGGTGTATGATTAGTCCTACATGTTAGAGAAATAATTAAGACATTTGACACTTATTTCACGTAAAATCAGTCTATTGCACTAATAATGACTTCCGCGTATAGGAAGCTTTGGAGTGACCTCCTTCCATTTTGAACGTCGACTTTCACTCCTTGAATCTGATTCTTTTTGTGTGCCATTCTTAAGCAAGACAAATATCTCCACGGAGAATGTTGAAATCGCTCCCGGACTTCTTAAACTTCACCTTCAGGTTTTTTGGAGTAGTCGACATTGTGAGACAGTGAGTATCCTGACGGCAACAAGCTAACCATTTCTAGTCAGGAGAAAAATGATGAAGATTGTCATAATAAACTCTATCGCATCTACAGAAGCTTTTTTATTATTATTAAGACATTTCCTATCTTACATAGACTTGTCCCGGAGTCCACAAGAAAGAAAGTAAAAAGTATCCTATAAGAATAATCCTTTCTCGCACTTCTTTCAAAAAATCCTCTAGAGTCCAAAATCTCAGCAAAACAGTTAAGCAAAGCCCATTTGTTTGTTAAACCACTTTTCACTGGTTTCAGTAAGTCACTTCTAAACCTTAAACTCAAGATATAGTTGGCGCGCGAGTCTTCCCTGTGAATGTAGCGGGCTTTCCAACATCTAATCAACCACCCTTTAACACTGGTCTTACACAACGAACACACACTTTATTCTCTCTATTGAGGTAGCCTGGATTCCTGGAGTTACCATGTACCAAAGTCGCCAACTATTCGGATCTTTAGACTTCACGTCTAATGGTGGACATTCAATTTTTTTTATCAGATGTCACCAGACAGATTTGTACATGGGAATGTTCTGCAGATCTTCGGAGGTAAATATCAAAAAGCAATAACGCGCCATCTATATATATAAAATGAAAGGATATAAAAGCACGAATGTTTCTTTTATACACAATACGCATCACAGTAAGGACAGTAGAAATTTGTATTGTGTATATATATATATATATTTAAAAAAAAACATTCGTGCTTTTAAATCATTTCATTTTATATGGATAAATATTTTTTTTTTCCTAGGAGGGTGGCTGTTTGGAACCTATGAAGGTGGTAGGTGGGACATCTGTGGTGGTCGACAGTTTGGTTTTCCCGTGGCAGTGTGGGCAGGTGGGAAACACTTTTTTTTTAATTTATTTATTTCGTCTCAATTTGCAGGTATTACATTCGAGCACAGCTCGCGAGTCATCTTGTCCTGGTTATTTACACATGGCGAGTATGCAACTTGATGTATCTTCATTAACTTGTAGGTAAATCGATCAATCTTCCTCCAATTCTAAAGCCAATTCCGAAATAATTGTAGGAAATATTGTGTATATAGTGCACATTATATTTATTTCGTCTCAGTTTACAGGTGTTACATTCGAGCACAGCTCGCGAGTCACCTTGTCCTGGCTATTTACACATGGCGAGTTGGTGGAGTAGAGGTGGGTAGCAGGAGGGCAACTGTTGGGTGATGAACTCCTAACTAAGTACACACTCTTAGTAACATAAAGGTAACCCAGGCATGGAGCGTATTCATAGATCGCCAACTACCTGCCGCCCTGCGGTTTAGGAGTATGTCTTGGTAGCCTTAGTGAACCAATTTACACTCTCATTTATTTCATCTCAATTTGCAGGTGTTACATTCGAGCACAGCTCGCGAGTCACCTTGTCCAGATTATTTACACATGGCGAGTTGTAATGCTGGAGTGGCCCCCCGAACCTTACAGGAGGGCAGTTGTTGGGTGTTTGGCTGTCAGCTAGCCATTGGGTCCAGGTCGTCGGA